TTTTTCCTGCTTGCAGAAGGGAAGATCTTTGACACTGTACATAAAACGATGTATCATTGTTTTCATGATTAGGAGGACCCTTCTGGGGGTCATGGGAGAGTTGTTCATTCAGCTGTTGATCTTAACAGTGAGTACTGGGCACTTTGGTGTGACTAGCTTTGCTTGTTTTCACCATCAAGCTCATAATATTGGATTAAGTAAAAATGTGACTGTTTCCCTAGATTTTGGCTCAGATCCTGAACTGTGTTCTATAGCTGAGCTATGGTTCTGCTGGATCACTGGCACAAATCAGGCTTATGGCTGGCAAGACCAGTCAAGAGATCTTTTCAATATGGCAATGAAGTCAATATGGGGGGTCCTCCCTGATCCATCAGAGTGCTCTGACCAGGGGATGGGGTATGAGGTTCTTCGTCCATGCCCTTGCTAATCCCTTTTTGCCAATTATTGGGTCCTTCGGGCTGTGAGCTGCCAGCAGAAGTCACAAGGGCTTTTGCATTGGTCTGGTCTAGGACTCAGTCCAGTAACGTGAGAACACTGCGGTGGGTGGCCTCTAGTTTCCAATCTGCAGCTGAAGATCTTGCCCTTCTTTCCAGAGTAATTGCTCACACCCTTTGAAATCTCCTAAAGCTTTCCTCAAAACTGCAAGAGCTGAGGATTGCTACTCCTAAAAACTGTGAAATAAATAGGTAATCTGTGGGACAATTGCCTGTGTTACAATCCTCACCATGCAACGAACGAAAAAAGCAGCCTTATGCTGTGTACTTAGGCCTGGTGTAACTTGAATCCAAAAGCTATGAAGGAAATGGAAAATGTTAATAAATAATGATGTTTGAAACACAAGTCACTGAACAAACCACCAGACCTTCTTCGTTTATTCTACAGGACAGAAAATGACTATCTCAGTTTGAAGAAAATAAAATCTTGGCCAAAGATGTGTCTTAGGAATTAGCCTGGATGCTGCATGGTATTCAGAAGATAAATCAGAGCAGCTTACAGATTAACTCTTGGTAATAGATACAGAATAAAGACAACTTTTGCAATAAAATCAGTACAACTGACTACTTGACATTTCCCTGGTATGAAGAGCCAAGGATTTCCTCAGGGCCACTGGAATTTTAAATTACCTTGTTTGATCCGCTTTTACAGCTGCCAGATTTCCATCTGGTATTTTCCAAGTCAGAACCAAGCATATGTGTGCTCCAGACTGCGCGTTCTCAGTCTGATGTGTTCTAGAAATCCCGGCCTCATTTCCTAAATCCTAAGCAGGTGATCTCCACTTGAAAAAACAGTAATGTCTCTCTCAAGTGTGTTGGAATTACTTGGTGTGTGCAGACCAGCTGCAAAACTGGGACAGAAATCTTAGAGAAATGTGCAAAATCTTCAAATTGTAACTTCAAAAATATTCAGGAAAAAAAACCGAACACATTTCCGAGAAAATCTCTATGAGTAGTACAACTGTCTTTCACATTCCAGTGTAACACTTTAAGAAGGAAAATCACTGCCTCTTCCAGGACAGCTCCAAATAGGTAGAAAATGCATGCCCTCTGGCAGCTCGGGTAAGTAATCTGTCTTGAAAGAAGGCAAAGGAATGAAGACGAACACATTATAAGCAAAGGGCTGACCTTTTAATAGCCCAAATATTCACCCTCTCCAAAGTAACTTAGTTCAGCTTAGGCCTGTGGCTGTCTGCACAGTCATTCTTTCTCTCCTTTCACTCCAGCCACTGAATGCTGGCAGCCTCTGCGATATGCCGGCACGGAGAGAGGCAGCTTAGGGAAGAGGAGGAAAAGACTGGGATAAGGAGCTTCCCAGTCCATGGATCAGGCTTGGACTCCATTTAGTTTGTCATGGCAAAGACAGAGGACTGCAAAGCCCCGAGGCTTCAATTTCACAGCTGCTCTCAGACCTCCACTGCATTATCTTTCTTATTTCTCTCTGCTTCCACTTGATAGCTGGCTTAGTTTCTTACTGGCTTGGCTGATAGGTTTAGGATTAGCTCCCACAGCATCTCACACAACCATGTTATCCTGACTCCGGAATCCACTTGTTGCAAACAGCGCTTTGGGATCTAAGACTTAAGGCACCTGCATGAGTGTAAGGAGAGGCTTCAGAAGGCAAGCGGGCAAAAAGCTGTGTGGTGTTTTCTCTCTGAACCAGAATAAACCACCATTTCATTTTAGATTAATGCTGGAAGCAAGGGCTTACATCTGGCTCCTCACCCCCCCTTAATGGCACTGCACTGTAGGGGAAGTGTTCAGCCAGTGGGGTTATGGGAAATTCCCATCCCGCCTCCCACAGGGATCACCCACCTCCTCGCTCCCTTCTCCCCCGCAGATACTTTTACATAAAACTGTGCAGAACACCCAAACTCCAATGTCTGGGTGAAGCTCACAGAGAACATAACCAAGTTAAATCAGCAAAGACGTATCGCCCTGCCTGTGTTATTTAATATCATATTTCCTTTCCATCCACCTCCCATCCCCACAAGAACTCCGGAGCACCTCCAGCATCAGGCCCTGTGCTGCAGGACGTGGGTCAGGCTTGGCGCTGGACCGACACCGCCTCAGGGCCGGGCCCCGCCGCCGCTGCTGTCCCTCGAGG